CAACACTACTGAAGTAATGCCTCCCTTTTATTCTATGGATTTTTTGGTTAAAAGCTTCACTTTTGCCCAATAATAAACTTAGCCCTTTTCACCCTTGCTCATTTGACTGTTTAAAAAACACCAGTCTTTTGAGTAGTGTACACTCCCATGGAGGTGATTATTTAAGCAGTGGGTAACCTGTCTATCTTTCCAGCTTGGATGTCAGAGAGGGTCACCTGGCAATCAACGAGCAAAACAAGAGAAGGACTAACGTCCAGAGATTTCTCCATTTTGTATTGAAGTACCTGTGCACCTGTATGAAATGCAGGACTAACCCCACATCATTCAGTGGTAAAGAACCTGCTTTCCTGTCATCGGTATTTTAAAACCACGGCAATAATCTGTGAAGATCTAGCCAGTGTGGTCACCAACACCTGCGACCCCCCCCCCATCATCAGCAACGGCTACGATTTCAACAACAGTGCACCAAAACCAGACACCCACGTTTTATATACCTTTAAATTAGCGTTGAATTAAGTTACCCATTTATATTTTTCATTTTTCATTTTCTTTAATGTAGGATTAATATTTCATATTAAGTGTTTTACATTTTATTTTCTATATAAAAAGTGTTTATGGTTTGTCTGTTATTATTTCTTTTTTATTCACAAATTTTTTCCTGAGGAGGAGCCAGCTGAGTAATACTGACTGAAGTTGTTACAGGCTGAGTAAGCCTTCACAGTCTTCATTGGGGTATCAAGGGATGTTTCACTCACGTCTGCCAATGCTCCCTTTGGGTGGTCATTGTGACATTCCCAGTTAGACAACCCACATTCGTTGGGAAAACCCCACATTCGTTGGGAAACCCACATTCGTTGGGGAAAAACCCACATTCGTTGCGTAACACCGAAATTGGGGTTGGAAGTCACCACAGCAATCTTCTGGTTCTTCGTTGTTTCTGCCACTCCAACAGACTTCTTGATTTTCAGCGTTGTTCCATTTGGCCGGCCAACTGACCAGGTTCCTCTTTTGACCTAAGGACTCGCAACAGGAGGATTACTTCGAATCCTCGTTCTCCTCTGTCAGTCGCCATATCTCAAAACTTAGAAACCCCTAAGCTCCTCTTTCAGCTGCGGGTACAGTTGCTCAAGAGAGGACCCCAAGGAGGATGTCAAGAAGTGACATCCGCAATCGCACCCGCATTGTACAAAAAGCAGATATCCGCATTTGCATCTGCATCCGCAAAATAATAAGACATCCTAATACACATCCGCATCCAGGGAAATATCTAAATTTTCACATCCAACATCCCTAGTGTACAGTAGGGGGTTTTTACTGAAAGAATTAGAGGTAAGACAGAGAGTAGGACTGCAAATGAGCAAGGAGGCTTTAGAATGAGTAGATCAAGTGTTTTACATTGAAGCATATAGTGAACAGTATTTAGATAAAAGGGAAAGGGAAGTTTTCATTGCATTTATGGATTTAAAAAAGGCATATGATAGAGTGGTAGAGGAGCAATGTGGCAGTGTTGCAAGTGTAAAGGAATAGGTAGTAAATTACTAAATGCTGTAAAGTTTTTATGAGGATAGTGAGGCTCAGGTTAGAGGTGTTAGGAGAGAGGGAGATTAAACCTCCCAGTAAAAGTAGGTCTTAGACAGGGATGTGTAATGTCACCATGGTTGATTAATATATTTATAGATGGTGTTGTAAAAAAAGTAAATGCTTGGGTGTTGGGGAGAGGGGTGGCATTAAATTATAGGGAATGAAATTCAAACTGAGAGTTGACATAGTTACTTTCTGCTGATGATACTGTGCTTAAGGGAGATTCTAAAGGAATGTGATATCACATTGGCAAGAGGGAGTATGGAAGAAGTAAATGTTTTCAGATATTTGGGAGTTGACTTGTCAGCGGATGGGTTTATGAAGGATGAAATTAACCATACAATTGATGAAGGAAAAAAGGCGAGTGGTGCATTCAGGTATCTGTGGAGATAAAAAACATTATTCATGGAGGCAAAGAAGGGAATATATGAAAGTATAGCGGTTTTGCAAATGCTTCAGTAAGGAGGCAGCTGAAGACAGTGGTGTCTAAAGGAAATGGGGGTGAAAAAAATTTTTGCAGAGGTTTTGGGGAGTGGGGAAAATTAGGAGGAGGTGTGGATTTCCCAAAATTTATTAGTAAGGGCTAAAGGGGTTTGTTGGGGTGGTTTGGGGCTTTTAAGAGAAAAAATGGATAAAAAGGTCTGATTTTTTTTGGGTTATCCTAGATTCTCTCCCACTTTCGCTGCTATGTATGAAAATCTAATGTAACGAAATTTGTGTATACCTGAAAAAACTTATTCCCTTGGGGACTTGGAGAGCGCATAAATCTGTGGGGGAAAGGGGAAGGGGGGGGTTTAAAGGGGTTTCCACCCTCTAAAATTTTTGGAGAGGGGTAAAGGGGTTTTTGTGGATGAGGGGCTTGGGGTTTCCCCAAGCAGGGGTAGCGTTTTAAAACAGGAAATGAATAAGGGGAAAAAGTTTATGGGCCTGGGGCAAGTGTTGGAGTTGGGAGCAGGGTAGTATTTTGTGAAAACATTCAGGGGGAAACCCTTACCCGGAATTGATTTTCCCGGAAATGGGAAATCAAAGCCCCACTTTTAACCTCTTGACTGTCGGGAACCCCCAAAACCTGGGGATGTCTCCTGGGGTCGCAAAATAAAAAAAAAAATTTTAAAATTTTCCCAAGAAAAAGATAAAGAATCTTTTTCCCGAATTTTAATGACACCAAAAAAAATGAAAATTGATGGGGAAAAATACGGAAATTTCGCTTCCCCGGGAAATTAGCGCCTTGGGGAATTTTCGAACGGCGATTTTCCCCCCTTTGAGCCCTTTTTTCCACTAAATTTCCCTTTTTCCATCAAAACCAAAAAACCTTTGCTATTTCTTTAGAACTCCATTTTTTCTATCAATTGAGTACAAGAAACTGCCCATTTACTGATTTCAACTACCCAATAACGTGGTAAAAAATTTGCAATTTGGCCAATTTCACGAAAATTAAAAAATATGACAATTTCAAAATAGGGTCCAGAATGAACAATGCAAACATTCATGGCTCTAAAATAACATTATCTTTGTTCATCAGTCACGTCTCCAGGCCGCTCTGATATTACTCTTGCTTTCTATTTTGAATTTTTATTCAAACAAAAAATAGAAGATTTACTGTCATGCAGACTACTGCAATATTGTAATAATTGTATAAATAATGTCAACCCATTCATGACTGCATATTAGAATGCCTACTTGGACATTTATTGGAAAATGACATCTTTTGTTTACTTTTGAACATCGGCAAAAATTTTTATTCAAACATTTCCCCTACTTTGAGCTCCATTACAAGGTTCTTCTCATAGTAAAACCAATCAATGTCACCTCTGTTCCTATAATATGTTTTACTTTCTATCAAATGAGACCAAGAAAACGAGAATACAACCATAAATACTATATGAAAATAGACCACAAAGTCGGCATTTTAATTATAAAAAAAAGGTCGGAGTTTTTTTCTCATTATGCACTGCATGCTGCACTATTTTTTTTATATGGTGCACACTGACCACACAGACCCATTCTCTCACATGTGGGCCTACCAGCTTTCTCCTGCTTGATTTGAAGCCGCTAGAATTTATGAGTATACATACGTCAAAAACGGTGGCTCGTAAGACGTAAATATAAGACCAAAACAGTCAAAGGGTTAAAGGAGGGGTTTGGGATATTGGCAGTTTGGAGGGACTTCTGAACTGTCGAATCTGAGCACCTCTGCAAAGATAGTGATTATGTATGAGTGAGGTGAAAGTGTTGAATGATGATGAAAGTATTTTCTTTTTGAGGATTTTCTTTCTTTTTGGGTCACCTTGCCTCGGTGGGAGATGACCAACATGTTGAAAAAAAAAAAATACATACGATACCTTACCAACTACAATATTGCAAGTTTTGATGTAAATAAACCTTCAAATTACATAAGATAAAGAGTATTATCACATTTTCTGTTAATAATCAATGACCAATTATACTGGAGTCTAATGTGCTGGCTTCAATCTACACAAAAATGATAAAAGTATTGAACTCAGGTTAAAATGAATTTATTTCACAACCCAACCATGCTGAATAGAGGAAATGATAGAGAAAATGACTAGTAGGCAATGGCTCAAGTTTCAAGTCTATGCAAATCTAGGATAGCAAAAGCCTATAATATTACTAAAGCTTGCTTATCAGCAGTTGTAACCCAAAATTATTTACAAACTAAGTCTATGAATCTAAGTTCATACAAATGTTTTTACCTGAGAGCAAAATACCACTGGCTGAAGATGAGGCAATTTTTATAAAATAAATATAAATTGCATTTGTTACCACACTCATTCACACAATTTCTCTCTCTGATATTGCATGTTCACGGATTATAATGCAACTACAGTAATGCAAAAAAATACCGACAATATGTATTTATATAGATAATAGGTTCATCTCCTTGAATAATATACATTTAAATATATACTGTACATTTTGGAAGGGTGAATAATTTTTTCTTACTTTATAAAGGTTTTGGAAAACCTATTCTATATTTCCATGTATATATTTATGTATATAATGTAAGCAATGCTTTTCATCACTGCCTAAAAAATATGTATAACGAGTTGCACAGTACTACTGTATCTCTGCTAATACACTGTAAAACACTTGCTTTTCTTGATACAGTAAGTTAAGGTGTTACCCACAATGGCTCTGGCTGTTCCTGGCAATAAAATTCAAACCACCACTAGTAAATATGCTTATTCACCATTAACACCATATCACAAGCTCACTACAATAATTTCAACTGTATCCCATATTCTTATGCAGTTTATAGAAGATTATTTTTAACTAAAAAAAAAAAAAGCAAATAATAGGCAAGGTTATGCCCTTCACTATATACGGTTGATTTACTCTGAACGTAAATGAGGCACACTACCTGTCCTAGCTACTCATAAATCTATGAAGTGCTAGGGGTACTGTCTGCTCAATATTTTCTGTTGTGGATGAAGGACACACAATATTTTTTTATAAAAACAGTATAATACTGTAATTAGAAAATTTTTACACAGTATACTCCAAAGAAAACTTTGTTTCGATACTTATTTTCCTCGGAACAACTTTCATAGTTTCTAGAACTCTTACAGCTACACTAACTCATAAACCAAAAATGAGAGCGAGCAGTAAAAAAATGCAGCTGCGTCAAAGAGAACTATGCATGACACCAACAAAATGAAGCAAGATGCTCGTGCGTGTGCCCCCATATAAATTACATGGTGCAAAGATTGTAGTGTTCAAGCAAGGCAGCTAAGCAGTGGTGATACACACCTGCTGGCCTGTAGATAAGGTGTAAATGTTTACAGGTGTGATGAATTGCTGGTCGGTGTGTCCTGGAGGCCGAACATAGTTAACAAACTAGTTTTCTTTACCTTACAGATGAAGCTACTATGGTGGTCATCGTCAGCCTCTTGTAACTAACATCTACTGAGGAGTGATGTGTCTGTGGCAGACTCAAGTTTCATTGACTAGTGCATTTGTAGTTGACTAATGTGTAAATATTGTTAATAGATTCAACAGATTTAATTAAGAGAGAACTGATGCATCTGTGAAAGTTAACTACGTGTTTGTGACATACTGTAAAAAAGCCCACAAATTATTTATTAGGCATACCTATGGTGACTAAAGGGCAGTTTGGCACATGTGATGACACACTCAGAGTTAGTCTCATGAGCTAAAGTGTCATTACCATCAACAAACAGAGACCATAAGAAATTTAAAATATGAAATTATTTTGCTTATAATGAAGCTCATGTTTGTAAAAATTATGCAAGATATTTTAATGTATATTAGGCTTTCTAAAGAACTGATCCTGTCCCAGATACATGTGTGGCTATGTGGTGTTCTAGCAGTACCTGTGGTAATGTACTAGTGAGGATAGTCAACAACAAATAACCTCTGCTAGAGAAATCTTTGATAGTTACTGTATTTAAATTCTAGTACAGTATTTTCCACTTCATTAATTTAAGCCAGCTGTTGAGAGCATGCACAGACATGTACTGCCTTGTTAATGCACACTGGACATGGAGCACAGACACAGCCTCACCACAAGGACCAAGAAAACAGACAGCCTCAGCACACTCTCAACACTTAAGCTGTACCTGGAACACGGTTATGCTGGCCCATAAGAGACTGTCAAAGTTCTTGCGGTCACAAGAAGTTGAATTGTCCGGGTTCTTTTTGCAGAATTTGCAACCGAAAAGATTCATGCCCAGTATACTAGAAAGAGAGAAAACATTGGTAAACCATAACTTATTTAGGCTAACAGAAAGTACTGTTAGTATAACTAAATGTGGTTAACAAAATTATTAAAAACTATAAACCATAACATAATGAAGTTGTCTGATGATAATTGTGAGTATAATTTAATTTGTAAATAAATTAGTTGAGCTGTAACTTAGAATGGTTGACAAAAAGCACTGGAAAACATAATTTTGGTGAGTAGAAATTAATCAGTTTTTTCTGGCCATTAAAATTATTATTATATTTGATCAAGTTAAAGGAAATTATTGGTGACCCATATATTTGGGGGCCAAGATAACATTATATAACTTCATATGATTTAATATAATACAAATGAAAATCATAACTTGGTCAGGTCTAGTTAGGACAATAGCAACTTCCTCTGGTGGACATAAGCAAACTATGGTGAGAGCAAGCAACAATAATATAATCGAGAAAAAGCCATGATGTACAAGAGTGCGCGGCTGTATGGACTTTATTCCAATGTGCTTCCACTAATGGCTTTTGGTGCATTGCAACAAAACACTGAATTCAACCTAAGTATTATAAGATATAAGATACATGACCAATTACCAAAAGTGTAAATGAGCCCACAGAATTTTATCTACTATAAAAATGCAAACCTTGACTTTGGGATGTTTGAAACGTTTAAGTATAATAAAGGTGATATGAAGAAAAGAATGACTAAGCATTATGAATGAAAGGAAACATGATATTTCACCAATGAGGGAAACCAAGTTAAAAGGGTCACTAGTCTTTTAATATGGAGGAGGAGAAGGAATTAAGGCAGTTGTGCCCAAACAAATAAAAGCTAAAACATGTGCCAATTCTGTTGAATGAACAACTCAGGTAGAAAAAGAAAGGGTATGAATGCTTTAATTTGAGAAATGTGAATAAAAGAATGAAAGTAGAATGCATGGAGTGATGTACTGTCTTATGAAAAATTAACCAAACATGAGACAAATACGATTATTACTATATTCTTCAGAGAACTGATCCCCATGCCTTTCTGGAGAAAGCTGTTTGTATAACCATTTAACTATGTTGAGTGGCTATGTTTTATAAAGAAAGGCATAAGTATACAACATATAATGAAGTGTATAATGAGAGCTGTCTTTTGGACTATGTGCTGATAGTCATAAGGCTAAGTGGTAACAGCTTAGATGCACTGTACAGTACTGTGCATGCTTTCAGAAGAAGCTAAAGTGGAAGCTAAAGTATGAATATATAGGTGGAATAAAGAGAATCAGAAGAAAAAATTAAATTAATAAGTTTAAGAAAAAACTAAGAAACAGTTGCTGTTGGAATAAAGATTAGTTAGATTAAGAAGTCACAAGAATGAGGAAAATGCATTAGGTGAATATAAGAAATCAGTACCAGCATATTTGTGTCATACAGTACAATAACCTGAGGATAAATGTATTAAAATCATAGAAAAGGGATATGTTTTTGTTGCTTTTGAGAGTTGCAAAGCAATATGTTATAAATAAAAGGCATTTAAATCTTGCAATTTTTGGGAAAATCCCTTTACTAAAAGACAACATGCCCTTTGTAAAAAAAAGGGGACAAAATGCAACTAATGGACTTTTTTTGTGGCAAGTTCGCTCCCCAGGGCTTTATAAACCCTTAAAAACAATAAAAGGGAAAGAGGGTAATAAAGGCCAGAGTGGGGGGGAAATACTAGGAGGTACCATTTCGATGTTCACAGGGGTAGTAAAAGTAGTGTAGTTGACAAAAGAATACAATTGGGGGCAATTATTCGTACAGAGTAAAAGGATATAAAAGCTTTTACTTGGGGAACATAAAAAAGGTTGGGCAAATATAGTTTGGAAAGGGGCAGCTTGTTTCAGTGTTCACTCTCTTAATGTCTTTTGTGTGTATAAACCCGGAGAGACTATGTGATGGGGGGTTTTTAGTTTTTAGGGGGATTCTTTCTAAGACTTCGGAGATTTTTGAAACTGCCATTGTTTTTTTTAATTTATTCGAAACAGCGATCAGTGCTGATTCAGGCACTTTCGTCTGCGGGGAAAATTTGTTTTTTGATCACTAATTGGGCACTCTGAATTTCATGAATATTGGTGGGAAAATTTCGGTTTGTACACAGGCTTTTTCAAGTTATCGTTCCTACATGGTAAATTTTCATTGAGGCGGGTTCGAGGGTTTTTGCTGTTTTCCCTAGTAAAACTTGTCACAGGCCTCCACAGGGTTAGGAAACTCCCGCATTGACTGGTTCGTGTGCTTGGATTTTTTTCCCGGTTAGATCCTTTATTGAAGTCTAGAAACGATGGCGACTCGGTGTTGCTTTTGAAAGATTTTGAGACGTTCATGCAACCTGGCTGTTTGGGGAAAATTAAACTTTTGGGAGTGGTGTTATCATGAGAATTAAAGTATTAGAGCTCTTTTCTTGCAGTCTTTGATGAAAAAAAAAGGAAAATGTAATCAGTGAATTTTTATGTACATTCCTCGCAAGAAAATCAGGCTACAAATTCGGGATTCTCTTCGGGAAAAACCCCATGATGATGCCTCTTTTGGGCTTGGGGGTCTTTACGGAATAGAAATGTGTGGATCATTTTTATTGGGGGGTTTTCGATAAACTTGAAATTTAGGTTTTGTCCTTTTTGAATGGGCGTGAGGAAAGGTGTTGTCATTTGGGCCTTCTTCTAGTTAAACTGGGTCGTCGGTTTTTAACTGCATTTAGCCCTTTCCTGAAGACCCGTACATCAAAACTT